CAAAATGCAGAAGGGTAAAACTTATTTAAAATGAAAGAAGTGTTTTTTTTTTTTTTTTGGGGGGGGGGGGGGGGACTAAGAAATGTTTAGTAAAACTATTTATTGTAACTCAACCATTTATGAATCATATTTCCATAAAATACAGAAAAATTGCAGTAATATTGGCATCATAAGACAGGATTCTGTATTCATATTAAAATCTAACATTATTATAAAACGTTCTAATATTTTGTAAACAAATTACACAAAAGTCTAAAAAATGGGGTGGATGCCCTCTTGTCTGCACCTTTACCCCTTGCATCCTTCCCCCAGGCATGTTCTCTTTGCCTTTGTTTTCCCTTGAGCTCCAAGGGTCCTTCTTTTGCCTCTGCAACTTGTCTCCTGAGTCCATGCAGCCCAGCTGGTTCACTTGTTCTACAGGCTCCCTTCTACCCGTGTAACTTTCTAAATAGACTTTTTCTTGCATTTGAAAACAAAACAAAAAAAAAGGTCAAACCAGTAACAACCAGAAAAGAATAAAGGAAGCACTATCTATATAGGATACAAAAGATTATAAGGTGAGAATAGCAAATGTATGATTTTTACTAAGATTGGCATTTGGAGCACAGCCAGTGTAGCTCAGTGGTTGAGCAACCACCCATCAAAACACATGCTTGGGTTTTTGGGCTCCATCCACAGTGCAGGGGCTGGCTGGAGGATACCAATGTTTCTCTCTCATCATTGATGTTTCTCTCTCACCCTTTTCCCTTCCTCTCTGAAATCAATAAAAATGTATACGTGCGTGTGTGTGTGTGTAAAAAGATAAAATGTGCTTTAAAAACTTAAGGGTTTGCTCTAGTAGAAGTAAATGTTCACTAGAACAATTAATGAGTGAACTAGTAATAATTCCCCTAAGGCTTGGGCAGAAACTCACCATTCTACAATCTATAATCTATAAATTTACCATACACGTTAGACTGCCTTTTTGGTTTCCACTGTACTATTCAGAGGTAACTAAGTCTTGTTAACCAAAAAGAACATCTTAAACAATCTTTTTTGTCTGGTAGTTACAAAGTATCTATAAAGTAATAAAACCACTTTTATTTAAAAAATTATATGATCTAGAATATTTAATAATTCAGACAAGCCTTTTCTATTGAGGAAATCAACATTTTGCTTTTATCTTTTCTACTGAAGAGAAAAATGAATCCTTGAAAATGTTTTCTTGTAATAATTCCCAGGATCACGCAAGAAGTAACACTTTCTCAAGCAGGAAGAAGTCCTCTTTAAGAATAAGAATTCTGCTATAGAAATGAGACTGAGATATTATTCTGCCTTCCTTTTAAGTCTAACAAAATGCACTTAAATCATTAAAATGTTCCCAATTTATATGATGCTTTAGACATTTGGTAAGCACATGATGTGCTATAAAATTTTAGTCCCCCAAAACTTGATCACACTATAAATTGTCACAAGTTTTAAGAACACTTCTACAAGACTAAGTAAGATTAAGTGAACATTCTACTTCCTTCTCAAGCTGAGCACATCATTTCTATCAATCCTTCCTTAATTTTACATTAGGCAGGAAGAACATGTCCTATTGAAGAAATCCATAGTTCAAACTAAATGTTTTATTGCTAATACACTTCATGTTCTGAATCCAAGTTATCTGTAATAATAAAAGTGTACTATGCTAACTAGACCAGACATCCTTCTGGACGTCCTTCCAGATGAAGCTGGGGCTTCGAGAGAAGCCCACTTCCCAGGTGTCAGAAGGAAGCCAGTGCTGGTAGCTGGGGGAAGGAAGGCCTACTCTTGCACAAATATTGTGCATCGGGCCTCTAGTGCTATATAATTTGTATGCTTTAAGAACTCGTTACCTTTAAATTCTACTTTCTTCCTTCTCTCACCACACAAATTGATGACAAATATTGTTAAAGATAAATTTTAGGTTTACTAGATGAAAAGGCATTTGTGCTTAAGAGAAATAATCCTCTAAGTCAATCTAACATCCCATGGAAGGCCCTCAAATTTCAGTTTCAGAAACACTCGTCCCGAGTACTTCAGAGTAAAACCCAAACCGATCAACTCTGTCTGTACATTACACACAAAAATACCGCTACTGTCAAAATGTTTTATCAAGAATTTTACTGACAGCATTTAAAAAACAGGAAATTATTAGACAATAAAAGACAAACATTGTAACACAGACAGGTCAGCACACAGTACACCATTGTTTAATGTCCGATTCAGGACATTAACACTATGTTACCTGTATTCCTTGCAACAACTTCTCCATCCTCACATTTAAGAGTCAACACCTGGTTCTACTTTCTTCAAGTAGTATTATTACATTTAAATGCTATTCTATAAGAAGCAAGTTGTTTTCAATATAAGCACCATGGAGTATCTCAATCCATACACAGGAAATAATCCTAACAAATTTTAAGGGAAGGCACTTAAAGCTAACTAAAGAACCACAACATTTAGATCTCTTTTATATAATGCAGGTTCCTTAATACTGTCCTCATATTTCCCAATAGATCAAATGCTGTTCAAATGTAAACTAAGAAAGCTAAGACAAGAAGGGACAGCAAACAGTCTGACTGATACATGAGGTGGAATAAATTTGCCTCCAAAGTAAGTGAATGTTATGACTCTAAGGAGGTAAGAGAACTAGAAAGAGCAGAGAGTAAAGCAGGCATGACCTGGGTAAGATTAGGCTCCTGACTTAAGGGAACAAAGTTTCATTTTAGTTTTCAGATTCAAAGAGTCTTAAAGGTATCTTTGGATAAGTAAGCAAAATAAACAGTTTCATATATATGTACTTTTTTAAAGGTCATTTATAAGTTTTAAGTGTTTCTTTACTCAAAGAGTGAAGATGATAAAGACATTACCATTAGTTCAGGCTATAAAATAACAACTTGTATGATTTCACTTAAATTATGCATTTTGGAACTCGGCAAAAATGGGCAAAATTCTTCAAGTTCAGCAATTGTTCCTTGGAGATAAGAGTCAAATTATAAAGACTCAAATAACTAACAATCCAAGTTATTTACTTATAATAAACCTGATATTAAAGTATCAAGTATGATAAATCGTAACACTGTTGGTATACTCAGTTCTAGTGCGTGATTCTAATACTTAAAAAAATTGTTTTCCGGTCCTGGCCGGTCAATTTGGTACATTGTACATTCCATGTACCAAAAGGTTGCCATATACTCAGTTCTAGTGCGTGATTCTAATACTTAAAAAAATTGTTTTCCGGTCCTGGCCGGTCAATTTGGTACATTGTACATTCCATGTACCAAAAGGTTGCCAGTTCTATTCCCGGCCAAGGACACATGCCCAAGTTGCAGCTTCAATCCTGGGTAAGTGTGCAGGAGGCAGCTGATTGATGTTTCACTCTCACATCAGTGTTTCTCTCTCTCTCTCTCTCTCTCTCTCTCTCTCTCTCTCTCTCTCAAAAAGGTCAATGTGTTTTTTTATTTTTTATTTTTTAATTTATTGTTTTCCACTATTACATCAGTGTTTGACAAAGTAATTTCATTAAGGCAAGTAAAACAGCAATTAGTTTCTCCCAGCTTATTAACAAAAACACAAACCAACCATAAAAATCTTTAAAATGCTAATATTTTCCCTTAAGTAATCAATACTAAAAATCATTCATTAAATAAATTCACCACCAAAAATAAACCTTCAGCTTAAATCCCAAAAGAAATGGCCTTATGAAAAAATATTCTGTTTACTACTCTCCACTCATACAAAGAAACTAGAAATGTTATTGAGGTTGTGACTAAACTATGAATGTGAATAATTTTCATATCACCGAGATATTGGGATGGTTTGAAATGGAATGTACCTCTGTTCTGCTACTAGTGCAAAACAATGCCTTTTATGTGAATTAGAAAAAACTGTCCTTTCGTCAAGACACTTTACTGCCAACAGTCATAAAACTGTGGTTGTTAGCAATACTGACTGTACTAATATAAATGGAATCCTTGAGTTGTGCACAATTATGTTCTCTCATAATTCCTTATTCTGTTATCTTCTTTTCCTATATCTGTCTTAAATAAATCTACAACATCAGAGCTATGGTTCTCTTTTAGAGAAACAAAAAGGGCCCTCAATACAACTCCCAATAACACAAAATGACAGTTAAAGAGATCAAACACATGCCATTAATAGCAACAATGATGATAAAACTTCAATACTGATCTTAATTCTCACTTAAGTCTATCTCATTTGTCTGACTCTGAGACCATTAATATATGAGCCTTGCTCTTTCAAATATAAATGGTAATTTTAAACTGACATTATACAGAAAACTTAAAATTCACAGTAAGAACAGACAGGCAATGCTGATACGCTTATTGACAATACTAGCTGATGATTGGAAAACAAAATAACTGGACATCATCTTTTCAATTCCAAACTTTTCGGATAAAGTATGTGCATAGGACCATGGCAGCTTTCACAGAAAACCAGAGCTGAAAGTTGAGCACTTCCAATATCCAAAAATGTATTAGCTGCATCAGAAAATCATTATCCCAGAAGTCAAATATTCTTCTTAATTGTGCAGAGAGGAATACATTAAGCCGTACCATCAGATTACATCGCCAAATATTAAGGTTATTTAAAATCTTTATAATTCCACAAATTCATGGTGAATAGAACCTCTAAAATTCAAGAATTAAAATTTACAAAAATAAATACCACTCTGACACTCAAGGGACATCTTCACTTTAAGGCCTTTATCACAAATCTGAATCTTTATTGTTCTGAAATAAATGTTATCAACATAAAACAAAAACTCCAATATTCAGTCTCAGAAGAGGTGTGGCACAAAGGCCCATCACATGTAACAAGAAAACTTCCTTAAAAAAAGAAAAAGAAGAAAAAGTACTATGAGAAGTCTTTCATATGAATAAAAATGCACCCTTGGAGTTTTTTTCCTCAGCTCATTAGCTTGTATGCATGTAGGAATCAAAAGGTTTGCATTTTCTTCACAATAGTTCTTGCTATGATATTTGACGGACTTTTTGCCACTCAACAAATTCATCAAGAAGAACAGGCCCTAGAAATAAAGAAACAGTTTTTGTTAGAATGAGCTCTGTGATAACAAGGAACTGATCCTTCCCTTTTTCAAGGGTTTTGGTTCCAACCTCCCTCTTCTACTTAATAGTGCTGCCTTAGCTTTTTCTTTTTTTACATAAGGGACTTTTTTCACAATTGATATCTGTAGCACTTCCTTCTCAAGGATTGTGTTTCATGAACTCTATAATAACTAAATCAGTGTTAACCTCGCCCTTTTCCAACTGCTCCGAGAATTTGCCATGTAATTACTTAAAAATCTAAACATTGTTAAAAGTAGCATTTCTATGCTACCTCAGCAAGAAGTATATGAGCTTGTTGAAAGGGTAGCCAGAATACAGACTTATATGGTTCCAGTAACAGGACCTGGAATAAATCTGCATACAAAGAAAGTGCCTAATAAACACCAGATCTAAGAACTATTCTAAAAAGACATTTTTATAATACAGGGGGTTCAAACTCATTTACACTCAGAAGCCAACCAGGGAGGCAATGGAAACGAGCTCAGTGTTTACTTTATTAAAACTAGGAAAACTCACTGCCACAAGGGAACATGATTGCCTCTTTTTCTGAAAATGCACAACCCTATGGTAGTCTCTATTTTCAAAGATTATAAGATAAATAGCAAATAAACACAATTATAAATGGCAACTGAAAAGCACCCTAGTTGTTGGCATAGCAAGAAAAATGGAAAGCAAATCCAACATAAGCCACTACTTGGCTCTAGCCACTAATTCCTATGAAAGTTTTGTCAGATTTTAGAAAAAATTTTCAAGTAAATATCATAAGTTTTTTCTATTATAGCTGATATTTTGCTTTCCTAGCTTTTAAAATCATAACTGTACTTTTCTTCCATAGAAAAATGCCAAAAAAGGCAGAATGAAGCAGAATTTTAGCTTCTAGATACAAAAATTACAACTTAAATTAAGCTTTATAATGCTGTTAGTGAGAAATTAAAAATATTTCATTTATCAGCATAGATTTTATAATACTGCTCAACCTAAGCTCTCTGCCTACCTTCTATACCTGCATCCTCCCACATGGTTAAAAATTACTGCTACAAAGTTAAAATCATTTATGGTAATGCTACACAAATGCATATTCTCATTTAGTAGTTTAAAAATTTTACTTTCACAGGAAAACATTATACTTACAAGCACCATCTTCATCGTAGTTACTAAGATCAGCATTGACTGTTCTGCTGAATTCTAATACATTGTACCACTGATCTTTATTCATAACCCGATACTTTGATTGCTGAAGAAAATAATATAAACATTTGGATTATAAAACATGCATTATTTATTAGAGCTTAACTCAATAAATCTAGTTATAATATCTTTTGTAATTTGTTTTTTTCTAAAACATTTATTGTGTTCTTTTAGATTGTGTTTTTAAATCCTCAGGGCCTGGCTTGTGTTACAAGTCAGTGGTCGGCAAATTCATTAGTTAATAGAGCCAAATATCAACAGTACAACAATTGAAATTTCTTTTGAGAGTCAAATTTTTTAAACTTAAATTTCTTCTAGTGCCACTTCTTCAAAATAGACTTGCCCAGGCTGTGGTATTTTGTGGAAGAGCCACATTCAAGGGGCCAAAAAGCCTCAGTTTGCCGACCACTATAATAGGTGTTTAGGGCATCAGCCTGAGCACCACAGGGTCACAGGTTCAATTTCCAGTCAAGGGCACGTACCTGGGTTGCAGGTTTGATCCCTGGCCCAGTCAGGGATGTGTAGGAGGTAGCCAATGGATGTGTCCCTCTCACTTCAATGTTTTTCCTTCCTTCCTTTTTTCCTCCCTCCCTCCCTCTTTCCCTTCTTCCCTCCCTCCCTTGCTAAAAATCAATGGGAAAAATATGCTTGGGTGAGGATTTACAAAAAAAGAGAGATCACCAACTTACTTTTCCCTTATTTTTCTTTCATTTTTGAAGAATACAAGCACATAAGGGTACTGATATTTATCTATGCATATACTTGTGTAATCACAAATGAGATCAAGATATACTACATTTTCTACAACCATTAAGTTCCCTTGTGTGGCTTTCCCTACTAACTTATTTCTTTGCATGAGATTTATTAAGTCACATTCTGAAGTTGGCACCTTTGGAGGCAGTGGAAAGGCAGGGTTCAAATCTCACTTCTGCCACTTATAAGTGACCTTAGAAAATTATGTATCTTAGAAGACACCTCCTTATTTGTTAATGGGGTTAAAATGTAATTCAAAATGGTATAACAAAGATTATAAAAGAGCCCTAGCCGGTGTGGCTCAATTGGTAGGAGCATCATCCCATATACCAAAAGGTGGTGGGTTTGATTCCCAGCAAGGACACATGCCTGGGTTGTGGGTTCCATCCCTGGTGAGTGTGTGTTCAAGAGACAATGGATCAATGTTTCTCTCTCTTTTTCTCTCAAATTAAAAGTAAATAAGCAAATAAATTAATAAGTAAATAAATAAAAATATTTAAAAAGATAGTATGGAAAGCACCCTCCACTGGATAACAAGTGTTTGAAAATATTTAGTTCTTTCAGTTCCCCTTATAGGTGAGTATTCTTATATTTAATTATTTTTTTTTTTGCCAAAACTACTGACAGGAGGGAGATTGATAACATCCATCAAAAACATCAACTTTATTAAGCTTCAAGATTTTAAGTATGTAAAAAACCAATTCATATAAGGCCTTTTTATACTATTATTTAACACAAGTTTTAAACAAAACTACTTTGGGGAACTTGCTATGATAAACAATTAGCTTCTTGAGAAATTATTTTCAAGCAAAAGCAGAAGGATCTATATTTCAAGGAATGGTGAGAACCATATATATAAAAAAAAAAACAAAAAACACTAAAATTGAACAGGCATAAAAACAGAAAAGCAAAGAAAGCAATGAAAAAAAGAATAGTATTTTCTTAAAACACTTCCTATCGTAGATACTATGATAAACCTTCTAATAGAATACTTTCTTCATAAATTCAGCATACATTTTAGTAATCCGCACATTTCAGTATACCATTATAACCACTCTCATATCTATGGACATCAAATATTAAAAGCTTTATTTGAATTTTTTAAATTGAGCCTAAATGAAAAGTTATATTACTATACTTGCTTCTTATGTGGATTTCAGTCTAAGACCCTGTGTAACAGAAAGAAACCTGATTTAGAAGCTTGAAATTATGCACTAATATCAATTTTCTCCTGCCAAACGTCTGAAGACTGCGATAAATTATTTCTTGAAGGTTTATTTTTTAATGGAGAGTAGGAGTAAAATAACTATGTACGGAATATATTATGAACATGATCTTGGGTCTAAAAAAGACAGTAGATATGTAAACATTTTAACAAATTTTCTACTAAAGCAGATATTTTTACCAGTATAATATTAAAAATCTATTTGTTTTTCCCCAATTAAAGGTATGTTTTTCAATAAGATTAAAATTTAAAATATTTTAAAAACAAAACAAACAAACATACCTCCAGGTATTGGTAAAATACTGAAAATAGTGGCCATGTCCTTCCAAGCAGAAGAGCTAACATGGATTTAGCAGTATCAATGTCAAGGCTTCTCTGATCTTTATCCTAAAATATATAAGTAAAAATATTTTTCCTAAATGTGAAGTCAAGATTAAAAAAAAATATTAAAATTACAAAACATGGATATTGCACTTACCCTTGCAAAATCAAAGGCATATCTGTAGATATTCTTAAACGAAGAAATGTCATTCAACTGTGAGCGCAAAAAGTCAAATTTGCTCTGTAATTTTTCTGTGCAGTCACACCTTGAATTTAAAAAAATCAAACAGATTATGTAATAAAGAAAAGTAAATTAAAAAGAACCTTTAGAAGGTCTAAAAGAATGCATGAAGAAAAAAAGTAAGAGCAATACAATATGAAGTTATTAACTTAGGTTTACAATTCTCTGATTCAAAATTAACTATAGCAAACAAACAACCCTGTTGCCTTGTATCTACCAATACAATAAGAAAACACATACACACACACACACACACACACACACACACACACACACACGGAAACCAATAACAGTTCAAGTAACATTTCTTTTAAAAAAAAAAAAAAACTCAATAAAATTACAATTGTCTCTTAAAGAGAGAGTATTAAAATGTGCTTTTACCACATAAAAGTTAGCAAATGGCAAAACAAATGAAATTAGTCAGGCTTCTGTCAAATATTTCACCAGAAAGTTCTTAGGCACCATTTGGTTAGAGATTAGCCATGAGTGGTTTCAAAAGTTGAAGACATTATATTGAGGAAATTAATACATTATGTTAGTGGTTCAGTCATAAATTTAGATTCCTAAAATTTTAATCAACAAAAACTTGAGGAACATCAGTGGCAGCACCTGCAGTACATAACAAATGTTAATTTGTTTTGATAACAAATGAACATCAAATGCAGTACATATATATGCAAAAGATGAAAAAGTTATGTTATTTCTAAAAAAAAGATATTAAATATAAAAAGCTAAATAATTTTTTGAATGCTCAAAAATCTTTATTGACTTTGATTTTTGTTGGGTTGATATATCCCACTATTTTGCAAGAAACAAGGAGACAAAGCCTTTCACAATTGGCCCAAATTTCCTGTTACATCACCTGGCAGATCCCAACATCTGTTCTGTGCTCTAGATATATTTCACTTATCATTCCCAAATGCCATAGCTATGCTTCAGTACACATTATTTCCCTCTACTTGATACCCTTCCAACATTTTCACTAAATATTATTCATCAATACCCTACTCACATTTTGCCATATCTGAGAGACCTGACTTCCTTCAATCAAACTAGCTGTGCCATCTATTGTGACCCAGAGTTATTCCACTCAAAACTGAAATTTTAGTACTCATCATATATACAGACAGGTAGCATTCTCATATTAAGACTTTCACTACAGTAAATCAATAAGGTGATATGGTAAGTTATAATTCTGTTAAGGTATATATATTTTAAATAAACTTATATGTTGCTTAAATTTTGCATTCCTAGAATAAGCCAAAGTTGATTGTGTTACCACTTAATACATTGCTATTTTTTTTTTTGCTATGTTCCTAAGTGAGACTTGCTTACAAATTTCATTTTAACATTCTCCTTGATACTTTTGATAACAAACTTATAACTTAAGCCTCAGAAAATAAAATGAGTATTATTACCCTTTTTTTCTGTTTTCTGAAAAAGTTTATTAAACACTGGAAAACAGCATTTGTTCAAACTAAGGTGAAAAACAACCTGGGCCTTTTCACTGAAGAAAGGATTTTTAACCACTAAATCAGCATCTTTAATGGTTATAGGACTATTCAGATATTCTATTTCTTTTTCAATCACTTTTGGCCATTTATATATTTTTCTGATAACTTGCTTATTTTACACAATTTTATTTAAATATGTCAATTAAAATTATTTACTAAAATGTTTTTTAATATATTTTATTGATTTTTTACAGAGAGGAAGAGAGAGGGATAGAGAGTTAGAAACATCGATGAGAGAGAATCATCGATCAGCTGCCTCTTGCAGGGCCCCCTCTGGGGATGTGCCCGCAACTAAGGTACATGCCCTTGACTGGAATCAAACCCAGGACCTTTCAGTCCACAGGCCGACGCTCTATCCACTGAGCCAAACCAGTTTTGGCTATTTACTAAAATGTTTAATGTATATTATGAAATACATAGTTTTGTCTTCTCTTTGATTTTCCTGACCATCTTGCAAGAATTTCTTAATTCTCTCAACTTTAGCATTGCTTTTTATTTTACTAATATCTGAACATCTTCTCATCTCTTTTTGCTTCTTTCATTGGGTTCTTTTTCTAAATTCTTAAATTAGATATGAGCTCATTTGCTTACAGGCCTTTTCTCTCTTAAGGCTATAGATTTCCCTCTAAGTATATATTTAGCTTCAGCCACAGTTTTGATAAGTACCATTGCTTTGATTATTCATTTGTAAATGACACCTTACTGAGTGATTTCAGAAGAGTGGAATAAAAAAGTCTTACTAGAATAGATTTAAGAGAGAATAAGAGAAGATCTGGAGGAAGTAAGTATAGACAAATACTTTCAGAGAGTTTGATTCTAAAAGGGGACTGAGAAAAGAAGAACTAACTAGGGTGGGATTGAGAGGCTGGAGAAGAGGGGAAAGGTAAGCATAGGTTTTGCTTAAAATAAAATGAAATAACTTCCATTTTCAGCAAGGTGAAATAAATGTGCTTTTCTTTATCTATCCTAACTAAAAGTAACAAATGTTATATATATAATAAAAACAAGCATAAGAAGATGTTTGAGGAACACTACAATAATGAGTTCCCTTTCTGCCTCATGTATCCCAAACTTGGAACTAGAGTCAGCAAACCAAAAATGCCAATGGGCAGACAAAAAGCAACAACAAATAAAAATAAACACACACACACACACACACACACACACACACACACACACACCTGCTTTCCCTCTAGCTAAACAAAAAGGAGCCTAGCAAAGCAAAAACCTTTTAGGGGGAAAAAAAACCCACAAAACAAACACATTATTTTTCAGTCAAACATCATAGTAAAGTATGGCTCAAGCCCCACCAATGCCAGCAGACTGAATGGTCCACTCTCACTCAACTCCTGCAGTGCCACTGAAAACCACACGGGGAACATGAACTTGTACTCCTGCCAGGTAATCAGGAGCAGCCAATCCTCCTCTGCCCTTGGGTCAGAGTCAGGGCTTTCACCATCACTGCAGGAGCAAGGCCACTGCCCTCGTAGTGTGACTGGGACTTTGTGGGGTACAAGAAGGTATCAGTGAAGCCCTAGTGGTGACCTGGAACTCTCAGGCCTGCCAACACTAATGAGACCCTTCCTTCTCAGCTGTCAATGGAGCAAGAGTAGGGAACATCAATTTCTATCTGTACCTGGTAGTAGTCCCCACTTCTGCCAAAGTGTGTTAAAGGAAGCTAGCTAAAACTGAGAGTTTAAATAAGATCCAGAGTTTCATGAGTATAATAGTAAACATTTCCAGGTTTCAATAAAAATGCTTCAATAATCAATTGTGAACACAATAAGACAACTGAAAATAGAAAGCCTAGCAAAGAAATATAAAGTCTAAAGAAAATAATATGTAAAAAAGAAGCAAATGGTAATTTTTAATTGTAAAATACAGGACAGACTTAAGCCCTTTACAAAAAATATTAAAATTAGAAGACAGGAATGGACAGAATTCATTAAAACACACACACACACACACACACACACACACACACACACACACAACTATATGCTATCTAGAAAAAAGAAACTGACTTCAAATATAACAACATAGGCTGATTGAAAGTAAAAGAATGGAAAATGAGATGAGCCCTGGCTGGTTTTTCTCAATGGTTAGAGACCAAAGGATCTTGGGATCTATTCCCAGTCCAGGGCACACACCTCGGCTGCAGGTTTGATCCTCAGCCCTGGTTGAGGCCCATGTGGGAGGAAATCAGTCAACGTGTCTCTCTCACATTGATGTTTCTCTTTTTCTCCCTCTCTCTCTTCCCCTCCTTCCTCCTTTCCACTCTCTCCCTCTCTGAAGATCAACGGAAAAAAAAGGTTCAGTAACTTGCTGAAAGTCACATGAACCTTTTTCAGTCTGTTTCCTCATTTTAAATCAATAACACTAATAGACAATCCACAGATTAAATGAACATATATGTGTTAAATGTCTTACACAGTTCTGGGCACAATATACTCCTTTTGAGGCAAAAATCACCTATTCAGGGTGACTCTCTCTCCAAACTATTTCATACGATTCCTAATGGCATATCTAAATCTTGAGCAGAGAAAGATTCTAATATAACTGGCAATTAATATTTTTTTATTGGAAGAGTGAAAAGAATAAGAGCACAAACTTCCACATTTGTTATCAATATCACACTTTTAACGAACCTAGCAATACCAGTGAACACAACCCTTACATTTAATCTAGTCCAAAAACAGACTCAGTACGGTAGTTAATATCAATACCTCATAACTTGGAAAGCTTAGAAATAAATGTTTCCCCTGAACTAAAAAGAAATAATGCATAATTATATCATGGAAAGCAAAAGATAGTTTTATTGAATAAAAACAAAACACAGATTTTAAGAAACTCAAGCACAATATGTTACCCCTCTCCAAAACTATTGCAATTAAAATGAGTGGAAATGGATTTAAATTTCAACATTAGGACTTGAAAATTGACTTCCTTAATACAGGTATCTTGCTTTTCAAAAGTTTTCACGTGAGAAAAGTTTTCCACTCTACTAAGGTATGCCAGAACAAAAATTTGCAAGTATCCTTGGAATCTGGAATCCAAGAATGCAAGAAAGAGCTTCAAAGACCCATATGCAATATTTTGGGTGTAGCAACATTTGTGCATCTTAATGGGGAAAGATCCACAGCTTACATAAAGTTCAAGAGTCATTAAAGCAACAGCTGTGTTTAAAACTATCCCCAAAATGATTCCTGTGCTCAAAAATTTCTAATGGTTTCCCAATATCCATACATATGCTTTAAACTCTCAACATGTGAGCCAAAGCCCTCCAAAGTGTAGCCATTATTATCCCAACTATCTGGAATTTAAACCTATTCTATTTTCTTTATGTACCAGTTGATATAACTAACCAGACTACTTCCCCCTCAAACATATACTTTGCTTACTCAAAGCTCTGATCACAATTTCCTCTTCAGAAACATTTTCCTAAATCCTTAACCATTAAAATCCTAATCATTCTTCAGGGTCCAGTTCAAATGCTACACCTATAAAGATTTTCCTGTCTATTCAGCTAAAATTAACCTATGAGCAGCTGTACTTCCACAGTACTTTGTATCTTTAATCTAGCACTTGTTACATTTCACCTATATTTATGGTTATAGTATTACTGTGGGGGGTGTCCCTCAGCCCAGACTGCACCCTCTCCAATCTGGGACGTTAAGCTGCAGTCGGACATCCCTCTCACAATCCAGGACTGCTGGCTCCCAACTGCTTGCCTGCCTGCCTTCCTGATTGCCCCTAACCGCTTCTGCCTGCCAGCCTGATCACCCCTAACCATTCCCATGCCAGCCTGATTGATGTCTAACTGCTCCCCTGCCAGCCTGTTTGCCCCCAACTTCCCTCCTCTGTTGGCCAGGCCACCCTTAACTGCCCTCCCCTGCAGGGTTGATCGCCTCCAACTGCCCTCCCTTGCAGGCCTGGTCCCTCCCAATTGTCCTTCCCTGCTGGCCACCTTATGGTGACCATCTTGTGTTCACATGGGGGCAGGATCTTTGACCTCATTGGGGCAGCCATCTTGTGTGTTGGAGTGATGGTCATATTACTCTTTTATTAGGATAGAGGCCTGGTGCATGGGTGGGGGCCATGTGGTTTGCCCTAAAGGGTGTCCCAGATCAGGGTAGCAGCTCCCTTGGGGTGTGGGGCGGCCTGGGCGAGGGGCCTGTGGTGGTTTGCAGGCCCGGCCACATACCCCGGCGACTCAAGCAGAGGCCCTGGTATCTGGAATTTATTTACCTTCTCCAATTGAAACTTTGTATCCTTGAGTGGAGGCCTAGGCCAGCTATGGCAGGTGCAAAGCTTAGCTTCTGTTGCCAGGGGAACCCAAGCCTCTCAACTACTCTCTGTGGCTGGGGTTAGTTGGTTGGGGTTAATTTGCATACTCACTCTGATTGGCTGGTGGGCGTGGCTGGAGCAAAGTGAGGGTTAATTTGCATATTACTCTTTATTAGGTAGGATGATATCTTCTTTGCCCTATTAGAATTTAACTAGCAGGCAAGAGCCATGTTTTATGCCTCACGGAAATCACCAGTAAGTGATACAGTACTTTATATAATAATGATGTTTAAACATCTACTAAATTAAATCCAACTTGGAGAAATTTAGATATTAGACAATGATAAAAACTATTGATATATAGAGCAAAATACCTAGAAACAATACGGCAATTATATTCCCTAAAACTTACAAAATGGCCATTCTAATATCTACAATAATAAAAGCACAATACACTAATTAGACCAGACATCTTTCTGGATGATCTTCTGTACGAAGATAGGGCTGAGGGTAGCCGGGATCCAGTGCCTGCTGGTGGCTGGAAGGTAGCCGGAGCCCCAAAGGGAAACCAGTGCTGGCAGCCGGGGGAAGGAAGGCCTATTCTTGCACAAATTTTGTGCATCTGGCCTCTACTCTATACTAATAGCCTAGGTGGTCATCACACCCTGACACCATGATGCCCTCAAGCTGTCACAAGATGGCTGCATAGAAAGGGGCCTGGCGGCTGCTACGCAGCAAGGTCTGGGGAGTCCCGTGGCTCCACGCAGCACAGAGGAGGCCGGTCCTGGTGTCTCCACTGCCTCTGCTGCCTCTTGCTGAGGAGGCGGGTCACAGCAGAGTTGCCACCACCTCGCAGTGGGGGCAGGTCCTGGCGGCTGCTTTGTGCAGCTTCCGCTGGGGTTCCTGTGGCCCCGCGTCTGACACAGAGGCGGGACCCCTGACTCCAGCCTACCTCTTTGGGGCAATCAATCCATCGAAGAGCCCCAAATGGATGGGCGGAGCCTACCTCTTTAGAGCAATGGATTGCACTATGAGAGGGCACAGGACAGGCTGGGGTGCTCCCCCACCCCCAGAGCGCACAAATTTTGTGCACCAGGCCTCTAGTTTAATATGCAAATTGACCAAACAGCAGAACGACCTTCTGGATGGAGGCAGTTGGGGCTGGGAGGGTGGGAGATAGGTAGAAGGCAGTTGGAGGGAGGGGGGACCAGAAGAGTGGGAGGTGGTCAGGAGACAGCCCATGTTGGGACCCTGCGAAGGTAAAAGTTATACACAGATTTTTTACTGCACAGGGATTGATGCTAACCCCTATGCTATTCAAAGGTCAATGGCAGAAAACTCTATTTTCAGTCAAGTGTGCTTGCCTAATTTGAAAAGCTTCAAGACTATACAGCAAAGGGTTCTAGGCTAATGGACAGGAAACACTGAGTGAAACAGAAACATCTAATTCAATGTTAAGTGCTATATAATTGCTTTTATTTTGTACTAGAGGCTTGGTGCACGAAATTCATGCAGGGTAGGATCCTTAGGCCTGGCCTCTCCGCCTCCTCCTTTCCTCACTCCCTCAGTGCCCCACCAACTCTGGTGGTCATCTGCCATGTTCTATACCGCCCCTTGGTGATCAGCTGACATCATAGCAAGCAATCAAACTCCTGCTCTCCCAGTCAAACTCCCGAGTGGATTATTTGCATATTAGCCTTTCATAATTATTTGCATATTAGCCTTTCATATATATAGCCTTTCATATATATATATATATATATATATATGTCTATAAGAAAGATGTGCTAATAAAAAAGTATGTTCATGCCCTAACCAATTTGGCTCAGTGGATAGAGTCCCAGGTTCGATTCCAGTCAAGGGCTTGTACCTTGGTTGCAGGCACATCCCCGGTAGGGGGTGCACAGGAGGCAGCTGATTGATGTTTCTCTTTCATCGATGTTTCTAACTCTCTCTCCCTCTCTCCTCCTCTCTGTAAAAAAATCAATAAAATATATGTATTTTTAAAATGTTTATGGGTTAGTCAATTTCTATCCTTGGACACAAGGGCATGTGTTGCTAATTATTCAAGAGTATATATTAGAAATACTTTGAGTTACACATTTGTTTTATATAAAGGCAATATATATCAAGCTATGCAAAAATGAATTAAAAACTCTTTGGTTTAAAAATATAGAATATTCAAAGAAGTAGTATACAAAAAAAAAAATAAAACTAGTAAGAAAAGCAGTTACAATGATAAATAAAATGTGTTATAATTAATAAGCCACGATTCAACTGATATATTTCAATGAAACAGACTGACTTATGTAAAAACTAGTTTATGTTCTTTGCATACACTTTTGTATACGTATTTTATCTTTCTCCATAAAGCTAATTAACAGTGGGAAATAAGTCAAAATATTTCAAATTCAACATTATTTTAATATGGCATGTTATGACATCTAGATAAATTGCAAAATTTAGTTTTGGTTGTAAATACTACTAATGGCCTTCTGTTTTAAAAAGAATGCTAACAGATATACAAAAGAATGTCCAAATGAAAGTACAATATGATAGACTGGTAATGTTGAAATTTACATTCTAGGTCCTTACTCTGCCACAAATGAGCTATTTAAACTTTAGCAAATATTTACCTCTCTGAGTCTCAGACTCTTGTTCTCACCTATATCTAACCTAATGGAAGTGAGAGGGTTGATTTTATGCTCTAGTTAGAAGCCCAGTGCACAAAAATTCATGCAGGAGTGGTGGGGAGAGTCCCTCAGCCCGGCTTGCCCCTCTCACAGTCTAGGAGCCCTCAGGGGATGTTCTATTGATAGCTTAGGCCACTCCCATAAGCCAAAGTCTAGCCTCCCTCTGCTAGAGGCAACCAGGCCGATCAGGGGAAGGCATTGCCCCATCATCCTGCCTCAGCTGTCTGCCCTCAGCCCTCACAGTTGCACTGGCTTTGTCCAGAAGAACATTTGGCTGTCTGGTCTAATTAGCATATTATGCTTTTATTATTATAGATTATTACATATTCTAGAAATTAGGATTTGGTTCACATGAGCAAGGTTTTTTATCTAAATATAATCTGTATGTAAATACTGGTTAATGTGTTAATAAAAGCATAATTGGAACAGAAAACCATATGGCTAACAAGTACCCCAGTTTGTGGCTCAAAGATACTGTAAGTTAATGATTCCTGTATTTTAGAATGTTGATAGTTAGCGACATATGCATTAACATTAGAAGCATGATATAAAATTACCACGTGATTCCAAACTGATTCTGAAACAAAGTCTACTTTACTTTGGAAAGACAAAATCAAGTTATTTTTATAAAAAAACAATTCTATAGCTTATGACTGTGTTCCAAAGGCAGCATCCTAATACTACTGTGTAATGGCTACAGGCTGCACAGGAACCATACAGCATTTCTTCTTTTGTTCTTCACGAGATTCATTTGGCAGAAAATAATTGAGAGTGCTATACAACTCTGTCTTCAAATTTCATCTTTAGATCAAGTATAAAATTGATGAGGAAAGAGAGGAGGCCTCAGAGCTTAGAACTGCCCAAACAGCAAACTCTGTACACAGATTTCTATATTCGGAGAAGGAAATATTTTATTGCTCAAACAACCTGTGAATAAATAACTTTCATCATGGACCTCTAATTCACCTAAAAAAGAGTCAGTGAATTTAAATAGGACTGTACTAAGTAAGGTTCTTTAAAAGACAATATGAAAAATGGGATAACTGTTCATTTTGCCAAAACATAGTATACATTTTGTCAATCCTAAACTGATTACTATAGATCAAACCAATTTGATAACATAATGTGAAACTTCTGAAAATTGCAAAGCACAAGATATCAATTAAGATCTTCAAATAGCCCATCAAATTTGTTTTTTAAAAAAATATCTTACTGTAATGAAGTCATGCCCTTTAACCATTCTTCCTTGGTAAAAAATCCCATGCTTTCAGCCTCCAATTTCCACGCTAAAACTAACATAATAATCTGGAAAGAACAGAACATAAAGGATAGGGGAAAAGTCAGCATAGAGATAATCATGTCTATATTTATCATGGAGAGCATTTTTATACAACTATTTCCTTCCTTCAAATATTAAAGAGTACAACCTCTGGATTTATTATCTATAAAGAAACTTAGATGGGACCAATTTCTTAAAAGTAAAAAGTTCTAACAGTTTCTGAAGGTAGAATAACCCTCACTCTATTACAAATGGCACTTGTATCAAGAAAGAAAACTTGGGCCCAAATCAAATTGATTAAAAATATACTAAGTAAAAATTTATAATAAACATGAAGAAACAAAATCTTCACATAAGATTAAGGTGTCCAAATTTTTAGAAATTTATGAATATGCTATCCCCCACTTATATTCCATCCTACTTAGAAAAAACACATACATTTTCAGGTTCAACACCAATGTCTTCACAAAATTTTTCCATTCCTTCTGGCCCTACAACTTCATCAGGACCTTCAAAGACAAAAATAATTTATATATTTTATTGTTATAATTTAAAATCAACATAAAACATAAGCCATTATTCTAAAGGTATCTATGAATATACCATAACATTTTTGGAAATAAATTATTTTGAATTTTGACATATCTTTGATAAAGTAGTATAAACACCTGCTATAGAATTTAATATTTTAAATTTTTAAAATGCTCTTAAAATACATTACAAAATAAAAACATTAAAAATGAAGCAGCATCAGTATCAATCACTAGTTTGTACTATAACTTAAATCTATCTACTTAAAAATTATTTACTGAGAGCTCTAAAGATAACTATTGTGCATAGATATAAAGTAACATAAGAAGGTTTAAGCTTCTTACTGTACTAGAATGTGCCAGTACCAATCCACAATTTCAGACAATCAGAAGAGAATGTTTAGTTACTAAAACAGAAGATTATTCACTATCCTTTTGAAATATTCCAAAATAAAATTTAACACTTTAATAAAAAGATACACATATTATAAAAATACGACTTAAGGGGATTACTACATTCCAACTCCAGAATATTTTCTTATCATCTTGGTTCTTGAATAGACAGTAAAGCAATAGTTAGGTAGGGACAAAAGTTTAATCCTTCAATTAATTTGTCTATCATTTGTTCAAAAATTATGATACGTTTCTTATTTTTCTACCTTAGCAACACTAAATGTAAGTCAATATACCAATTTCCATATTTTCTCATGTTAACAGATTCCCAAAATATAATAAAAAGATACTATATGACTGATTAACTTATATGTGGACTATACATTTAAAAAAACACATACTACAGATAGTAAAAAAAAAAACAAAAAAACACACACACACACAAAATACCCAAACTCATATAGAGAACAAATTGGTGGTTGCCAAAGGTTGGTGAAAACAGTCAAAGGCACAAACTTCCAGTTATAAAATAAGCCCTGGGATGTAATGTACAGCATAGTGGCTATAGTTAATATTACTGTATTGTATACTTGAAAGTCACTAAAAGTGTAGATCTAAAAGTTCTCACTGCAAATAAATTTTTTGGTAACTATGTGGCGATAGATGTTAACTACACTTATTTTGATAATTATTTTGCAAAACATACATATATTCAATCATTATGTTGTACCTGAAAGTAATGTCATATCTCAACTTTAAAAGGCTAACACAATATGAAATATGATAGAAATATGTTTGCCACTCTTGATTTTTGAAAATATAGTCTTGCTTATACATGCTTGCTGTTTCAGATGAGATCCATGCTGCTAAGATGATGTGATCTTAATTAAAACACTTGCAAATTTTTTGGTCTAAACTTTTTTTGCTGCACAGCCCTAGCTGGTTTGGCTCAGCAGAGAGAGCGTTGGCTTGATAACTGAGATGTCCTGGGTTCAATTCTGGTCAAGGGCACATACCTCGGTTGCAGGATCCCATCCCTGGTTGGGGCAGGCAGGAGGCAACCAATCCATGTGTCTCTCTCGTACCAGTGTTTCTCTCTGTCTTTCCTTCTCCCTTCCACTCTCTCTAAGAATCAACAGGAAAAATATCCTCAGGTGAAGATTTTAAAAAAAGTAATGCATTTATTTATGCAGTAAGGTGTTAAAAGATGAAGAGGATGACAATTATAGGAAACTTTTACTTCCTAATATATATCTGGAAGACTTTTTTTTTTTAACAAGATGTGTTAAGTAATTTAAAAAGCACACATCTTTATATAATAAAAGGCAAGTTTGCAAATTGACCAAACCATGGAATGACCCATGGCTATGAGGCGCACTGACCACCAGGGGGCAGACGCTCAACACAGAAGCTGCCCACTGGTGGTCAGTGCACTCCCACAGGGGGAGCGCCATTCAGCCAGAAACTGGGCTCACAACTGGCAAGCACAGTGGCAGTGGCAGTGGCAGGAACCTCTTCCGCCTCCACAGCAGCACTAAGGATGTGTGACTGATGGCTTAGGCCCACTTCCCGAGGGCCTAAGCAGTCAGTCAGACATCCCCCGAGGGCTCCTGGACTGCAAGAGAACTGAAGGACACCCCCCCTCCCGCTGAGTGCACAAATTCCATGCACTGGGCCTCTAGTACACAATAAAGTTATTAAAAATATATCTGGTCCTAGCCAGTGGTTAGTGTTAGTCCTTGGATTAAAGGGTTGCAGATTCAATTCTGGTAAAAAGAAGATACCTCGTTTACATGCTTGATCCCTGGCCCAATGGGGACATGTGCAAGAAGTAACCAATTGATGTTTCTCTCTCATACTCTCATAATCAATGTCTGTCTGTCTGTCTGTCTGTCTGTCTCTCTCTTTCTCTCCCTCCCTCCCACCCCCCCTCCAATGAAAAAAATATCAATGAAAAAAATCAATGAAATTGATTTTTTTCATTGATTGATATTTTTTGATTTTTTGATTTCAAAAAAATCAATGAAACAATCAATGAAAAAAATATCCTTGGGTGAAGATTAACAAAAATGTGACTCAGTGATTGAGTATTGAGCTATGAACCAGGAGGTCCCAGGATTCCTGGTCAGGATAAATGCTAGGGTTGCAGGCTCAATTCCTAGTAGGGGGCATGTAGGAGGTAGCTGATCAGTGATTCTCTCTCATCATTGATGTTTTTATCTCTTTATATGTATAGTTTTAAATATAAACATATATTTAAAGACTAGAGACCTGATGCACAAAATTTGTGCAAGAGTAGGCATTCCTTCCCCTGACTGCCGGCATCGGCTTCCCTCTGGCACCTGGGACTGGGCTTGCCTCACAGCCCAGCTTCCTCCAGAAGGTCGCCTGGAAGGATGTCCAGTCTAATTAACATATTATGCTTTTATTATTATAGACATATATGTCTGAATATACATTCTTATGGTTTGAAAGTAAACATCAGGTAAAAAATGTAACAGAAGAAAACAAGTATTTTAAGGCATGATAGGAATATAATTTAAATTTTTCTATGCAGCAAGAAAGCTGACTTGCTCTTGAAGTTGCCATCATTAGTAACTAGAAGAGACAGCTGAAGAATTTGTCAAAAAATATCAGTTACAGTTATAAAATATAGTCTCTCTAGATACCGTGAAATCAGTGATTAGAATTCTATTAAAATCAAGTTAAATTGTTATACCAAGATATATAAGATACATATTAGTTCTTTTTGTATAAGGCTTTTCCAAAGTAATATAAATAGTAACAAGATCTAACATAAGGTCTATACTCAGATTCTTTTCCCAGATTGCATAATGTTAATTATTATTCTTAAAACATACTCTTCCAATAAAACTACTCCCAGGGAGCTGAATTTAACTAACTTTAAAACAAAAACCAGATTTCTAATCAATTTAAAAAGCTATGGAAATGAACCAGTTAGATACTTTACTAGGATTATGTGATCCTATCCTTAATTTTGATTCTTTATAAGACTTTAAACATGCCTTTCACTTGTCATGCCTTTTGTTTTGTAACAAGCCATCCTTGCTAATTTAAATATCAGTCAAGATGAAGTCTTATGAAAGGGCAAAACCATCAGGCTTATCGAATATAATGTATTGATATATTAATAAAATTACTGGTGAAATATTTTAATAACCATAAAGAAATGATTCTGACTACATATGTAGGTATAAAACCATGTCAGCCACAGCAGATCAGGAAAAAACACTATGCTAAATGAATGGCACAGCATCTTCTACATAGGAACTATACTGGAACTGTACTGCAAATACAACCAGTAAATCTGATGCTCTAATACTATTACTCATTTAATAATAACTAACATTTCCTGAATTCTAATTATGTACCAGTTACTGGACTAAGAGCTTTACATGTGTTACCTCAATAGGCAATTATTGTTTCTATTTTAATAAGCAACACTCCCATTTTATGATGGAATAGTAATTGTTTATTGGACTAATAACTGGTTCCTCCTTGTCAATTGGTTCTCTGCCTATTATAGCCTCTAGGGAGGCCTTTCCTAATCACTCTATTTGAAAATCCAAAGTTCCTACTTTCTATCCCTGAACTTTCCCATATTACCTTTATAACCCTCCAAAATCTGTAATTATCTTGCCTACTTACCTATTTACTGTCTGACTTCCCACTAGAAGGCAAGTCCTCCCAAGGAGAAGGGCCTATCTTTACTTGTTCACTATTACATTCCCAGCATGTAGAGAGGGCCTGATACACAAATGCTCAAAAAATGTTTAATGAATGAATCATTCCATGAATGACAGAAGATAAGCTAATCTCAAGTGTACTTACTAATATTTTCTTTGCAAAAGGAAAATTAGTTGCCACATATATATTTAAAAAGCAAACAAACATGAGATAGTAGTAGTTAAAAGCATAGGATCTATAATCAAAATGACCTAGGATTGCATTTTGGCTCATCAGTGCATGACCTTAAGCAAATTACTTAATCTAAGCATTCAGTTTTCTCATCTGTAAAACAGGCTAACACTGCATATTTAACAAAATGGTCACTAGGGAAAGCTACATAATTAACATAATTTTTGAAATAAAGATAGCAAATATTATGCTATTATAAAAATGCTAGTATAGAAAATAAATGTTTAATTAGAGTCTTATGCTAAACAGAAAAGTCACTACAAGAGGTAAAACAAGTAAGCATGAAAGAAGAAAATGATCAAATAATTTTATAATATCTAGTAACCTTTATAAGTAAAATGAGTGACCTTTTGATTCTATATCATGCATACTAAAATGGCATTTTGAATAATGGGTCAACATTTTAAATGGAGGTCAGTAATCAAATGAATTTCCTTCATTTAATTTGGGTTAGTGGTTGTCTTGGGATGCCAGTAATAGCAGTTTTTCTGGTCTAGAAAGAATCTGTTCTGTTTCTAAACAATTTTTAAATTATGCTTTTGAGATCACTCAGCTGATCCCAAGAGTGAAGTTATTGTCACCTACCCTGAGCCTAAACTTATATCTCAAGTTCAGAGTTCACTTGAAGCCTTAACTTGATTACTCTACATATAATACAATGACTGCATATACACTGCTTTATTTTAAACAAACACTCTGAGAATGATAATGATAAAAAAAAAGGGGGGGGGGGCAACAGGGAGGCAGGTAAGAGAAAGAAAAAAGGGAGGAGGGGCACTTTAAAACCAGTAGTTTCAAAAGACGAAAAAATTCTAATGGGAAAAAATTTTCATATATGCTTAAAAAGAAGTTAGAATAGCTCAGCTGATATGGCTCAGTGGTTGAGTCAGGTCACGGTTCAATACCCATTCAGGGCACATGCCTGAGTTGCAGGCACCATTCCTACTAGCTGGCATGCAGGAGGTAGCTGATCAGTGATTCTCTTTCATCATTGATGTTTCTCTCTCCCTCTCCCTTCCCTCTCTGGAATCAATAAAAAATGTTTTGTTTTGTTTTTTAAAGTAGTAATAAATGGGAAACAAATATTGTTTTTATAATATATATTTGCTTAACTCTTCAGCTTCATCCCTGGCTTTGACTTTCATGCCACCCTAGGCCCAAAGCTTTATATCTACCACTGCAGTATCTGCTTTGAATTAGCTTCCTCAAGAAGCCTTCCCTGATATTTCAAGACTGGGTTACATATTCCTCCTATAAAATTTCACAGTACATCTTCCTAATATGACATTTATCACACTGTATTAATATCTATTTTTTTTCATTTTGCATCTTTCCTAGAAGTTAGTGGCTAAATAGCAATTATTAAAGGGTATGTTGTGCGATGACATGTCTGAGTTTTAAATCTTTTACTATGGCTCCCAGAAGTTTCAGAAAATGTCAGTCTCTGGTTCAGAAAAATTTTGAAAGAATATTGAAAAGAAAAAAAAAATATGTATAATATAAATGTTTTATTACATACTTTGTTTTCCAGAATATCAACTCTATTTTCGCTAATGGATGTAAACCAGTAAGTAAATCTGTCTGTTTACAAATTGTATTTATAGAAATGAGTTTCACCCTCTCACTAAATATATACTGAAGTATATATTTAAAGACAGCCTGAAATTCTTAGCCTACCCACAATTCTCAGTCTTGACCCTGATCCCAGCACACGGCACTAACACAAAGCAGGCCTGAAATAAATAGTTTGTTAAATGAATGAACACCCCCCAAAAATTTTAAAGCATGTGACTGATATCTTCTTATATTAATTTCATTACCTGCATACTCATAAAACCAAGCCAGGCACTTCTTGCTTGAAAAATGTTCCTCTCCACTTATTAGTCTAGCAGGGGGTTGGGATCTGCAATAGCTTAGAAAACACACAAATGCCTAAGAATTTTATAGACTCAACTTGTAGTGAAAAGCTAAGTTCAATACCAACTATGTCAATTCAAACTAAACAAAGTATTTTTTTTTACAACTAGTGTAATGGGGAAAAAATAGTTAAGTATTTGCAATTTGATATAGTAGTCTATACATAAAAATGTATGGCTAACAAAACCCAAATGCTACTTTGCTCACTATCAAATTCCAAAAATATCAACAAAAACTAATTCCCCGGATTTCAAGACCACACAGAAGTTCAATCTAATGGTCTCAATGCAGGACTAGTAGTTGGAAAGTATTAATCTTTATAATGATTCTTTTGAATTGCATGGAAACCATATTTTTGTATAATGGTTATACATTTGAAAACAAAATCTTACAAAGTATATTTTGATAGTTAATTTATCAATATTTCAAAATAAAACTATATATTTAGAGTTGCTTATCATCTACCAAGTTTAAGTAGATATTTAAAGATAAAAGACGATTTAGGACCTAAGATATAATTAAATTCTACACACACAAAAAAAAACCCATAAGGATAACATTAATACAAATAATTGGGCCAAAGCTATTTAATCTTATTTTTTTCTTTTTCCATAAAGTCATTTAAGGTTAGTAAGTTCATAAGTGGCCTCTAGGATATAATGAACTTCAGAGAACCTTTTCTTGAGGAGGTCAAATAGTTACACTACCACAATGACATAGAAATGCTATAATTTCTGCAACTGACTAATGTAAAATAGGGTACCATATTTAAAAGTTTAAGTTGATAGAGCAAAGTATCACTTGAGTTATAATGGCTGCTTAGCTTTTTTAAATAATTACTTAAATCATTTTGATACATTATATACTTAAGATTCCTACAAGTTAAGAGTAATACAGAACTATTAGTAATTTGCATGTTCTGTAAAAATTGAGCTAGTGGAGTAACCATGTCAAATTCTAGTATTGAGTTACCAAGAGGTATTAAAAAAAAAACATCATCTTTCACAGAAATAGCCCAAGAAATATACTTAGGCTCTGTTTTCCCAGCTTAATGAAGGGGGAAAAACACACGAACCAATCAGAAAAAGGTGCGGACTAAATAAGTTACCTACCTCATATTTTAAGCATTAACTAAGGAGAGTTCTATTATCGTTATCATCTCTCGCCTTCATAATGCTGGCTACAATCTTCTTTTAATGGCAGCATCTGAAGCTGTCACATCAAGTGCCAACCACAGGTACAATCGGACACTCAATAAGAATTAAAAACCCCCACTCCTCACACCTAAATGGCAATCATCTTCTGCATTATATAATGTTGCGGGGATGCCTCGATGACATGTTACAATGGGATCAAAGAGCTACCACTTACAGCTCTGCTTTGTTTCCTTTTTTCCTTCAAGAGCATAGAGCACAATAGCTCTCAATTATTATAATATTTATGTTGAGAGCGAACAGCATCCTGGATGCCGGAAAACAGAACGCATGCAGGGGCTTCCCCATTTGGCACGCCGGGATTGGCGCAGGTGGAGGCACTGTACTTCCGGAAAGGGGGCTTCTGCGGTTACACAGCCTCCTGCAGGGGTCCTCCGGGTTAGCCCGCTACATCTGGAGGCCAACTGCAGCGGGGGAGGGGGGGAGGGGGTGGTATCCCTTCCTATCATCCCCACGGCAGTTGGCAGGTCGAGATTTTTCCTGTTTTGCTCCTTTCTTCACTCTACAAAGAAATTCTAGACGAGACCCGCGGCGGATCAGTTTGGAGAAGGCGGAGGAGGGGTAAGACCGCCGGAGAGAGAGAGAGAGAGAGAGAGAGAGAGAGAGAGAGAGAGCGCGAGAGCGAGCGAGCAGAGTACATGCGCGCTCGTTTCCCACCCTCCGGGCACGCAGGCTGCCGCGGGGCCGCCCCGCCGGTCCCGGAGCTCCCGCACCGGACACGAGGGGGGTCGGGCGCAGACTCGCGGCGCCCACCACCAGGATTTATCAGGGTTGGGGGTGGGGAGGGAGGCCTCTCCCCAGCTCGAGCCGGGGAGACCCGACCTGCCTCCTTCTCCCCTGGCCGTCCAGCGTCCAGCGGGGGGGGGGGGGGGGGGGGGAGGGAAGGCTGAAGGGTGGGGGGGGGGGGAGGTGGTACCTGGAGATTTTACACTTTTTGAGGCCTCCGTCGTCCGCTACTGCCGCTGGCACGCCGGGGGATTTTCTCTTCTTCTTCACCGGCATCTTCCGCCCTCCCCGGCAGGGCGGCCAGGGGAGCCGGGGGAGGGGGTCGCGGTCCGCCGCGGGCTCCTCGGCGCCGGCCCCCGGGTCCCAGAGGCAGCAGCAGCAGCAGGCGTAGTAGCAGAGTCTCCAGCCCGCGCCGCCGCCTCCCAGCCCGGCCGCGGGCCGCCCCCACGCCCCCTCCCGGGCTTCCTCCGCCCGGGGCAGCGGGTCCCTTCGCGCCGGTGGGCACTGCGGCTCGGCCACTCCGGGGAGGGAGAGCGCCGACTGCGCGGCACGGCCACCAGTCACAGACTCCGGGAGCAGGAGGCTCAGCCTGACCCGGAAGCGCCTCGCCGGTGGCCGGAAGTGACGCAACGCGGAGCTGGCCGCCGGGAGGGGAGGGGAGGGGAGGGGCGGGGCTCCGGCTGCAAGGCCTTGCAGCTGCGCTGGCTGAAAGACGCCCAGCACCGGCCCTGGGGAGAGGTCCGACTCTGGGGACCCTTGGACCGCCTTGGTGGTCCAGGGACTTCCATCTCCCCTAATGCTGGTAAGTCACCTCCAAGAAATGTTTTATGAAGCCACTCACTGGTGCTTCGGCCTTAAGTTAAAAGTAACTTGGTAAAGGAAACCAAACTTCACTTCTGAGCTCTTCCATTCGGTAACAACCTCACGTTCATTGTTACTTCTGAAACGCACATTTTCTTTTGGGGCGGGCTGGCCATCAGCCGCCCACTCTCAGACCCCTTCCTTGTCCCTCACCTCTTTGCCTTGTTAAAACTTAGCTTTACCATTTCTCACCCGTCAGGTAAGAAACAGTAGGCAGTCGCTGACCTAGCAAAGAGGAATTTGGGGAGCATTTCTAAGGGGCCTTCCTTTAAAACTTCTACCCCAAACACTTGTAATGTCTCCACCTTCACTTCAGAGAAAATATTGTTTATAAATGAACGTTGTTGCATATAAAGATTACATAGTGGAAAGTCGTTTTAGTCAATATATATGTAGAATAAGTTAACGTCTGTAAAGCAAAGTGAGATTATAGAGAAAGTGTCTTTAAATTCAGTAACAGCCCAAGTGGTCCTAGTGAGATGACTTCCACCTGGACACTCTCTTTTGGATAATAAGAATATTCTGTTTCCTTGGTGCCATTAATTGGTTCAGAAGGACATATGATCCAAACCAGGCGGTCAGCACCAATGACATGAAATTGAACCACCAGGAATCAATTTATTTCCTATGGACTTGAAACTGAGAGAATGCAAGAATAAGCCAAAACTCAGAAAATACCAGAATCAAGTAGAAAAACAAAAGAACAAAAACAAATGATTTTATGGTACAGGGCCTGAGTCCATGATATGCCCTGAAAATATCAGTTACAGGAGCCATTAAAACTCACTATTTTGCTTATGCAGTTCTGATACTTACAACTAAAAGAAGGTTGTTCCGAATGCTACTGTAATCCTTCAACTGAATTAAAAATGCATGAGACCAAAACTTCAAATCTGAATAAAATTAAGTTTCTAAAAAATACCATCTGTACGTAGGGATAGTGGAACATGTTAACACTTAATGCAATCAGCAAGATCTAGCCTATCAGAAATTCTACAAGAAAAATGACCCAGATTCTGCAACAAGGTATTAGAGAAGGAAAGTTTCAAGGATAATTAATCATTTTCCATATTTGAATCTTGAGTTAAATTTTTTTTAATAGTAGGACATTTATAGGACAATTGGAAATTTTAAAACTAGCTGAATATTTGATGAAATATTTGATGAAAAGCTTACCTATGGGGCAGTATAGCAGCAATGCTTGGGGACTGGGATAGTGTAGTGATAGAGGGAAAAGACTGACTGTAAAGAGGCAAAGGGAACTATATTAGTTAATAGACATTCTGTGTCTTGTTGAGGTAGTGGTATATATGTGTGTGTATATATATATATATACACTTGTCAAAGTTCATTGAACTGCACAATTAAAATATATGCTCTTATTATATGAATATTATTCCTCAATAAGTTGATATAAAAAGTGCAAGTAGGATGAGGCGGAGCTTGAAGATGGCGACCGAACAGTCGGACCTATTCTGACTCTGGTCCCAGAACGGATAAAGGGGGCTTCTGAGTCGCTCAGGGAGAGTTGATTGGCAGCTAAGGGACAGCGGAGCTCTCAAGGAGGGTAAGGGAGAGTCCGCTGGACAGGATTTCCTGACCAAGTGGCCAGGACGGCCGCGGCAGCAGCAGCAGCAGCAGCAGCAGCGGCGGCGGGGGCAGCGGAGGCAGCGTGCGGTGGGCTGCGGGCGTGGAGGAAGGGCTGCATTGTCTTGCCAGGAAGGAAAGAGCTTCTCTGAGGCGTGGAAAACGCACAGCCCGGAGGTCCATCGAGCAGCTGAGACTCCCAGAGCTGCGCAGACACGTGGATTCCGGGGAGATCTTCAGTCACCCACGGAAAGGTCAGAGTTTGCGGGGATAGCCTAAGGGATCGGGGTTCCGCGGCAGCGAGCTCCGGCCCCGCCTCCACTACGGCAGCCGGGGAGCTCCGGCCCGCCTCTGCTACGGTAGCCGGGGAGCTCCAGCCCTGCCTCCACTGTAGACGGGTGCGCGAACTACAGCCCGCGGAGGCGGAGCGGAGCCCAGAGAAGGCTACAGCGACACCTAGTGCTGGGTTTGAAGTAATCCCCCCCAGAAGAGGGGCTTTTTTAAAACGCCAGGGGACAAGGGACAGTGTGTTAAGAATAGCGGCTGTCCCGCCAAGGGCGGAACATCTGGACACCTTGGCACCGGTTCCCATTCATCCCCTTGCTTCTGAATACTAGAGAAGAACTTCCCAGTTGGGCATAGCCGGGGAAATTGTAGGGGGAATTTGCCTTCTGGAAACAAGGGATTGGAGCCAGAAGACATAGTCCTGGAGCCAGCTAGAGCCATAGAGAAAGAAGGCCAGAGCAACCAAAAAGACTGGGAGGTCAAACCGGAAACACTGACACCTAAGAGCCGAATTACAAACTGCCTTTTTTTTTTTTCTTTTTCTTTTTTTTCTTTTTTTTTTTTTTTTTTTTTTTCTTTTTTTCTCTTTTTTCTTTTTATTAATCAAAAATAAACGGACACAAATAACTAAGATATAACCTGCTTAAAATTAAGGTTCACCTTACAAAACTCAGGTGCAGTGGAATGCTGGGGACTGCAAGACTGTCTGGTCTGAGAATCAGGAGTGCCAAATACATTAACAGAGGAAGTGAATGACCACTACTGGACATTTTTATGCTAATTTTACTATTCTTTATTTTATTTTCATTTTTTACATCTTTTATTTAATTTTCACTTTTTATAGCATTTACTTAAGAAAAATTTTTTCTATTTTTTTCCTTACTTCATTTTACCTTTTCAATTATTACATTTTTCAATCTTTATCATCACTATTACTACTGCTATTTTGCAATTTTTGTTTCTTTCCTTTTTTTTTTTTTTTTTTTGTTCTTTGTTTTTTCTTGTTTGTTTGTTTGTTTGTTTGTCTGTTTGTTTCCTCTCCAGTACCATTTTATTTTATTTTTTTTCTGTATTTTACATTGGGAATAACCTCCATTCTATTTTAATCACTACTTTAGCATCATTCAACCCTATCTCAACTTGACCTTTACACCATCACTCTCTTACTAAACTTTACCCTTTTAGTCAACGGTTTATCCTATCCCTTTCCGGCTCTAGATTTTCCTCTATTCTTTCTGTATACCCCTTGCTAAAGCTCTCACTATACGTATAGACCTAAGTTCCAACCCCTGATCCAAGTGTATAAATACCAATTTCTGTACTATATTAACTAGTTAAAAAAAAACAAAAACTGTTCTCCCCTCTATCCTTTGCGCATTGTTTGTGTGAGGGTTGATTATTGTGAATTTTTATGCTTTTTAGTGAAATGGTTATGCTTATTCCTGTGTTGTTATTGTTGCATTGTATTTTTTTTTAAAATCCTCTGTTTTTGTTTGTTTCTATTACTTCTGTATATCATAGACTTACTTAATAATAGTGGATATTGTAGTTTGTATTAATCTCCAAGTATTGTTACTGGCATTGGCTGGGTTCAGTAGTTGTTCTATGGCAATTTTCTCCACATATATATAGTTTGTTTCCCATTTCTCTTTTAGTTTGCTTCTTCTCTCCCTTTCTTTCTCTCTCTCTCTCTTTCTCTCTCTCTCTCTCTCTCTCTCCTTTCTTTTTTTCCCTGTTTTCCAACTTTATTTTGTCATTACTTTTTTTCTTCTCTTTATATCTCTTTATCCTTCTTTTTTTATTTTATTTTCTTAATTTTTTTTTACATTTTAATTTTATAAAAAATTTTCTTTATTTTATTTTTACCTTTCTTCCTTCTCCCCTAACCCCTAAGTTGCCTTTCTCTAGTGGTCACCTTTATTTGAGGTTATTAATATTGTAAATACATTCCTGTTAAGTGCCTCTTGTGTTGTACCTGGTAGTGTTGTATATTGTACCTTTAAATCAACGCAGCAGAAGGAACACCACATAACCAGACACCCTGAAAAGAGAGGCTATGGGGAGACAAAAACATAGTCTGAACATAAAAGAAAAGCAGGCATCACCAGAAAAGGAAGTAGAGTCAGAGGCAACCAGCCTAACAGAGCAAGAATTCAGAATAATGATCATAGGATGGCTAAAAAGAATGGAAGAGAAATTTGACAATAACCAAGAAGAAATGAGGAAGAACCACGAGGAATTGAAGAAGAACCAAGAGGAAATGAAAAATGACATCGCTACCATGAAGAACTCAATAGAAAGCATCAAGAGTAGACTAGATGAAGCAGAGGACCGCATCAGTGAGCTAGAAGATAAGATGGAAAAATATACCCAAGTAGAGCAACTTCTAGAAAAAAAGATTAAAAAGCAGGAGGAGAGCCTACGGGAGCTTTGGGACAATACAAAACAAAATAATATTCGAATAATAGGGGTTCCAGAAGGAAAGGAAACTGAGGTAGACATGGAAAAAGTATTTCAAGAAATAATGACAGAAAACTTTCCTG